GTGTCCCAACACGTGGATTTGGAAGAAGCTCATTCCGCACAAGGTATAAGCGCTGTCGTCTCGCACCACGCCGTTTTCGTGATTCTGCTGCACCTAGATAAATCAGAGCCCCAGTTAGCACAGCTCGGTAAATTTGATCCTCATCTTCTGCCATATCCTCCTCTTCTTCTAAGGCAAGGAGGTGTAGCATCTCCAGGTCATTGTCCATAGTGGAATAGATGAGGGTATCCAATACGTTATCTTGATTGTGATCGAGTACGTAAGCAACAAGAAGTATTTATGGCACCCATCAGATAGATGTGTTACGGTTTTATAAAACCGTTTTGTATATTCCAGAAATATTTGAGATATCTTTACAAATCACTTTGAAGAAATGTTTGTGTCTTTAAAACGTTGCGGAAAGTCATCCAGTACTGCATTCACCTTCGTCCGAATCTCCAGACGCGTCCTTGCTTCAGAAAATGGTTGAATAAGTTTGTGCATAACATTCTCTCTTCGGACAATTCTACTCTACCACCCTCGTTCAATCAAATCGACTAAAATACTCCTACCCGCACACCGCTCCCCTTCATCTCTCGTTCTTCGCAACTTCAACAGTTCTGTAAAAGAAATCACTCTGATTGAAGAGGAAGGAACAAGACTAGGCATTCGGATTATAGACAAGGGCTAGCGCCGTGACCGATGTGCGCCATGCATAACTTGTACCTTCTAAGTATCTTGCTTGTATCCATCCCCAACTCAGGAGTATGTTACTACCGACTCAAATGTCTTTCTTTGAAATTGTCTTCCCATATTATCCTTGCTTCTTCTTGAGAAATTAGCGCAATTTAAATTACATCTGATTTTATGTAGTTTCGTGCATACTATGAATAGGTGATATCCTGTGGTACATGAGTGGACTCGAAATCGACGCTCAAACACTTGTGCAGCAGAGTTGTTTGAATTTGATGGGAATGCTAGATGCCGCTGACATGCTGTGCTTCGGGTATCACCGCTTGTGCTTTGTCATGAATGGATCTGACGGCCAGGATCGGTGGATCTGACGGCCAGGATCAGTGGATCTGACACCTCTTGAGCTCGCCAGCTCGCCACGCCAGTTTCGCCAGCTGGCGATCGCCGGCTGGCGAAACGAAAATTCTAAAAAAGGGTGGCGAGACCTGGCAAAAGCCAAAAAAGGAAAGTAAATTTTCGGGAAGGACGCAAGAAGGACATTTGAAGGACGTGGCATTTCAGTAGCGTAGAATAATATCTATTACCCCTACAACTCTCATGGCAAGCAGAAATAAGGGTGGGCACCCCAAAGACTCCTTTATCCACAAACACTTCACAGGAGAGCAAGACACAAGAACGAAATCTCACCGATGGATCATGACGTGCAAATACTGCCCGGCATCTGAAGCCACCCCGATCGTTCACCGTGACGTACGCTGCCTTTCCCATCTAGCAAAGACCGATGGGCAAGGCAACTGCAAGCATGTGCCTCTGGATGTGCGCAGAGAAGCCAGGCGCTTGCTGATGTTGAAAGCAGGGATTGAGAAGGCTGTCTCATCAGATGAGGACGGTGACATTGAGATTGTTGAGGAATCTGGTGTGGGGAAGAAGCAAAAGGGGAAGTCAGGGTCTGCCGTGGCAGTGAAACACCCAATCAATGCATTCTTTGATAGAGCAATGTCGGAAGTGGAGACTAATAAGGCAAACATTCAGATGTTGATGTGAACACACGGAACTCAGAGTCAGACACAAAGTGTAATGACGACTGTTATTGCTTAACTACCTGTGAACGCACGGAACTAAGTATAGGTAGTAGTCAGTAAAGGTAGAGTAAGAAAATGTAAAGTAAGCTCACCTCAGAGTCAGACACAAAGTGTAATGACGACTGAGGTGAGAGGAAATAAAGTTTTCGTATATAAAGGAATGGGGAACCAAAGACTGGCAAAGTAAGCATAAAGACTGGTACAGTTGAGTGCAAAAAGAATGAAGGTTGGTTCATTTTTTTGGTTCTTTCTAAGAATCTATTGTACCTCAAATGTATTTGTGTATTCTTTTACATTATGTAGTTGTGTTACACTTCCCTTGGTATGGACTAATTTCAGTGAAAGCTGGAGCCTTGAGAAGGTTTTTATTCTGGAGGCCATTTTTGGCATCTGAAAAAAAAAATTTGCGCTAACTGGGGAGGTAGCCAGAACATACCTCTGGTCAACCTGAATGAGCCTATCAAAGAATTAGTTAAAAATACTGAGTGGTTATGCTTGTAGAGCCTCCAGAAAATGGTCATTTTGTGCCATTTTGGTCATTTTTGGCCTGTTTTAGACAAAACAAGCCATTTTCCAAAGCCTCTATAGACCTAACCGCTCAGTATTTTTGACTGATTCTTTGATAGGCTCATTCAGGTTGACCAGAGGTATGTTCTGGCTACCTCCCCAGTTAGCACATATTTTTTTTTTCAGATGCCAAAAATGGCCTCCAGAATAAAAACCTTCTCAAGGCTCCAGCTTTCACTGAAATTAGTCCATACCAAGGAAAGTGTAACACAACTACATAATGTAAAAGAATACACAAATACATTTGAGGTACAATAGATTCTTAGAAAGAACCAGAAAAATGAACCAACCTTCATTCTTTTTGCACTCAACTGTAAATAACGGAAGTAAAACGAGAGAGTAAAATGGAGAAAGTGAACAAATAAAGTGTACACGTAAACAACGTGGTCACGAGACGTCTCCTTTAACACTCCCCCAGACGACGAGGACCTAGATATCCAGCTTGAGTGCTCTGACGAGCTTTTGGTGCGTGATGCGATTGAGAGGCTTTGTGAGTATGTCGGCGAGGTTGTCTTCTGAGGGAACATGAAGGACTTTGATGTCGCCATTTGCGACGCGTTCCCTAATGTAGTGGTGTCGAATGTCAATGTGCTTCGCGCGAGCGTGACCCTTCGTATTGGCGGTAAGTGCAATTGAGGAAGCATTGTCCCCATGGAGAATTGCGGGGAAAGTCCGTGGAAGTCCAACCTCGGACATAAAAGAATACATCCATAAGCTTTGTTGAGCGGCACGTGTAAGGGACATGTATTCCGCTTCTGTTGTTGATAGCGCGACTGTCGCCTGTCGTTTTGAGCTCCAAGATACTGGTCCTCCAGCCATGATAAAAATGTATCCAGAGGTTGACCGCCGAGTGTCAACATCTCCAGCATAGTCGGCATCAACAAAACCGATAGGCGCAAGGTTGCCTCCTCGGGAATAGGTGATTTTGTAGTCGATAGATCCCTTGAGATAGGCGAGAAGGTGTAGCATGGCCTTCCAGTGGCCAGGTCCGGGGTTTGACTGAAAATGTGAAAGAACGCTGACGGCGAAGGCGATATCTGGGCGAGTTGCTACCTGTACCCACATGCAGGAGCCCAATGCCTCGCGGTATGGCTTATCAGCCATGAAGTGTCGATCTTCGTCCGTTTTGGGGGATTCAGATTCGGAGAGGGCGATGCCAGGAGGAAGTGGGGTGGATTTTGGATTGCAGTCGGTCATTCCGAAGCGCTCTAGGATGCGCTGGATGTAAGCGCTTTGTGATAAAGAGATCGTACCAGTCTCTTTATTGCGATCGACGCGAATTCCCAAGATATATCCCATCTCCCCCACATCTTTTATTTCAAAACACTTCTCTATTTCTTTCTTCGCCTTTGCTGCTCCTTCCTCTGTTGAAGACGCCCCGAATACGTCGTCCGTGTAGGTACTCGTGAGTGTGTATTCGTCCCCATCGACTCGAGAGTGAACGCATGGATCGGCCACTGACTTGTAGTACCCAAGTGCCTCATATGCGCTCGACATCTGTTTCTGAAAGTCATAAGTGGCCTGCATCATACCGTATAAAGATTTGTCAACCGCAAGGACCTTCCCTTCCTGCCCTGGTTTGACAAAACCTAGAGGTTGATGCATGTAGATAGGGAATTCGTTTGGGCTATAAAGAAATGCGGAGACGATGTCAACCTGCCAAATGTGAAGGTCGAGGGAAGTGGCAATGGCAGCCACCATGCAGAAAGATTCGAGACACACGACAGACACGTATCTTTGATCATATTCGAGCCCAGGGATCTGCGAGAAGCCTTTGGCGACGAGACGGGCCTTCCGTCGAATGACATTACCATCCGCATCGTACTTGTTAGCGTACACCCACATAGATCTGATGATATGTGCACCTGGAGGTGGATCCAACAAACGAAAAACCTCCCTCTCGGTCAGAACTCCCCATTCAGCCTCCATTGCGGGCATCCAGAGATCGGAGCGTGCCATCGCCTCCTCGTAATTCTGGGGTATGTATGTCTCTGGAAGTCCTGTCATCAGCACAGTCGCCTGAGGAAGTGGCGCACCTGTCCCGACGGCGGCGAGACGAGCAGAGCGTCTAGGTGGCAAGACGGGAGTAGGCGTCGTGTTTTCACCATTTAGGGTAGCAGATGGAGGTTGAGCGCTAACAGGTTGTGCGTGTGGCGGAGGATCCGTGATGCGTGGACGAGGAGCGAGCGGTTTGGGTGGAACAATAATGCCTGAGGTATTTGTGGGAGTGTCTGGTTCGTCCACATCATCAAGAATTGGGGGCATATCAGCATCATCAAGAGCAACGTCAAAAGAAGCAGTAGGCGTAGCTTCAATCGTACGGTGTCCTACTCCCTCCTCGAAAATGACATCACAACTTTTGATCGTGGTGCCTGAAGCCCGATCCCACAACTTATAGGCGCCACGACCAAAATAGCCGATCAAGACATATTTGATCGATCGAGGAGAGAGCTTGGAAATGCCTATCTCCGCCGGTGATACGGAGTGTAACAATACACCCGTAAAAATGCGAATTTTAGCGATTTCTCCCATAAAATCTCCTATAGTAGAAATACAGTCACATTGATCATAAGGATCGTTAGACGCAACCTGGTCTAGTTGATTAAAGTCTACATCCGAGAAATGTGCATGCCTTAGACAGTAGGAATTGCGGTCGGTTCGTGACCGAATCACCTCAATATACTCGAAGTCTAATAAAAGGCTACACTACCATGAAATAGTACGCTACCAAGTGTTCTAGAGTAAAAATACCCCCGCACAGGGTGTTGGAGTTTACACCAAACCAGGGTCTCACTTTATTATGGATTAAAAGATATTAATTCTAAAGATAAACGCGCGAGCGTAGAAACTCGACGCGTACCTGACGCGAGAAGTCATTCGGTCACGTGCTACGAAGCATGATCCAAGAAGTCATGTGGAGAGACGCATCACGTGCATCACGCGCATCAATGCATCACAAATCATGGCATCATTGACCCAAGAAAACTAAGCTTTGTGAAATATTCCGAAGCCTGCCAAAAGAGAAAAACTATGAACGATTTGCCGTGCGGTCCAAGGCCCGGGCATAGTATCTAATAATAGAGAGAAAAATCACTAAGCGGACCGTTCGTCTCAGCTGAACCGATCGTGAAAACCGTTTACGGCGATTCCCGCGTACGCATCAATACTGATGCGTCGTGTCGCCACAATAGAGAAAACACTACGAAAACTTAAAAGAAGTCAGCTCAGTTGTGCCACACACAACCAAGCCACTTCAAACCTTTACTAAAAATCAGTATTAATTCGTCCGACCTTTCGGACAATGCACGGACATGTAAATATAAATAGAAAACATAGAATAGTATAAAAAGAGGACGCGCGCAGGCTGAAACGCAAGGAATTATCCCCCGCGTTGACCAGCTGTCGCACTCCCAGTAGCATCTGAGGTAGTGGATAAGTTTGTAATCAATTTAAGGACTTTTCTTCACAGACATAAGTAACGTGTGCCCGGAACCAGCGTGTTAAGTGGGGATCACAAAGCTTTTGTAAGGTTGTCTCGTCAATTAGTAAGAGAGCTCTCTGCTATTACCGAGGAATCCAAGTGAGCGTGCTTGAAGAGTCTTTAAGACTAGTTTGGACCGCATCAGAGGCATAATAAAAGCTCAAGGGAGTTATAAAAGTCTACAAAGCACAATTTCCTTGTCATTTCTTCGTATACAGTTAGAACGCAATCCCAGAACACCGAGACAGTCCCAATAAAAGCCGTTTCCCTTCAAAGACTACTAAGTTTCGAATTCTATACTGTGTCCGCACGTAAAACAATACCTTTTGTTCCAAAAAGGTCTACTAGACTTAGACAAGTGATATAAAATATACAAAAAACGTTTCCCCGAACTTCTACTTAAGTTCTAACAAAACAAGTGTGGTAATTCTGTTTACCGTACGAACCCAAACTTGAAGTACCAAGCACGTACCTGTGGTGATAAGTGTTTAAGGTGTTTGTGTGTGTGTGTGTTGTTTAGGTGTTCACGCATCTTGTCAGCGCGTCTGATTACACTATTCTCACTCCTGCGTGACACGGTCTTCTCACCAGAACCTTGGCATACGCATTGCATCCAAAAGGGCGAAGGTGAGAGATGTCTTGCCGCTTTCCAGTCCATCGCTCAGCAGGAACAACTCCAGGGTGACGAGCAGAGGGCACAAAATTACGAAGGTAGATGACTGTCGCTGCTGCATCCGCCCACAGAGATGGTGGTAGGCTTGAATCAACCAGGAGGCAACGTGTACCCTCGATTATCGTCCTCATCCCACGCTCGGCCATCCCATTCTGGCCATGGGCGTAAGGCGCACTGAATTCCACAATAATGCTGTGAGTCTTCGTATACTCACGCCACTTGTCGTTGAAAAATTCTGATCCCATGTCAACAGGAATTCGGATGAGCCTCATCCCTGTCTCCCGTTCTGCCCTCACGCGATACTCCTCAAGAGCATCGAGCATCGTCGCGCTTGCTTTGTTGCCCAGGAAGTATCCCTGTCGAAAAGAGGAGCCGCCATCATTGAAGACCATCATATATTCGGCCCCCCCCGTCACTAGTATCAACCATTGTTTATGAAAAAGTCTGGGCAAGTGCCTGCACAACTTTTTGGACACTGCCTAGGTTTTTTATGAAATGAGAAATGTAGGGCAAGCATTATGAAATGTGTTTCATTCCCTCCCATAGTTGTTTCATATCTATTTTATTCCTTCCCTATACTTTTTCATAACTATTTCTTTTTTACCTGGCCATTTATTTCATTGCCCCTCAGTCTCACTTCCTTCCTGTTTCTTTGTTGCCTAGCCTTTCATTTCATTGCCTCCCCAGGGTTATTTCTTTCCTACCCAGCAATTTCTTATTGCTGCCTAGCTATTTCATTTCATGTTTGCCTGGTAATGGTTTCATTCTTTTATTTCATTCTTGCCAGGGCAATACATACTTAATTAATTATATGAAATAACAAGGCTTTAATTGTCAAATGAGTACAATATTTGTTATGCTTGCTAGTAGAGGGTGTGCGCCCCATTTCTACATAACTTTCAATTTGAGACCATAATATGATAAGGGTGCAAAGGGATAAGCAAGGTAAAGACATTTTGCAAGGCATCACATGTATTACATAATCAAGTCCCAGGAAGATATTTACAACTATGAAATGAAATAGCTAGGCAACAATAAGAAATTACTGGGTAGGAAAGAAATAATCCTGGGGAAGCAATGAAATTGCTCATTGGGTAGGAAAGAAATAAATGAAATGAATGGCCAGGTAGAAAAGAAATAGGTATGAAAAAGTATAGAGAAGGAATGAGATAGATATGAAACACTATGGGAGGGAATGAAACACATTTCATAATGCTTGCCCTACATTTCTCATTTCATAAAAAACCTGGGCAGTGTCCAAAAAGTTGTGCAGGCACTTGCCCAAATTTTATCATAAAAGTGGTAGGTACCACTCCCCCCGTAGAGCGGACACACGCTGGACCCCATAGATCGATATACACCCGCTCAAGTACGTCTTTCTCATGTTCTGTCACCTCGTCATATGGCCGCGCTGTTTGTTTGCCATAGATGCAATCTTCACATTTTCCCAGCGTCTCCGCATCGCCGGCAATGTTAAGACCATCAACCAGCCCCTTCCTCGCCATCTCAACGATAGAGGTAACACCAACGTGTCCCAAACGTCGATGCCACACGTTGATAGAGGTTGATTTTTGTGAATATTGCGTTGTGAGCGCGGTAGTGGGGGGTTCGACATTTAAAAGGTACATGCCGTTTCTTCCTTCTCCCCTCATCAACAGCCTCTGGTTTCCATTGACTAGATCATAGAAGCGAACTCCTCCTCCTCCGAAGAGTGCCCAGCAACCAGCGGTGTCCAGTTTACTGATTGATACAAGGTTGGCTATGAGTGGTGTTGCACAATCCTCGGTAAGTGTGATGACCAGTGACATGCCGTGACATGGTGTCACAGGCCCAATATCTTGAGACATTGAGTTTGTACTTTCCACAGCACCTATTCAATATATTTTTTGCAATGGGTTTGATTGAATTAAGTGAATGAATCCACTGGGAGAGTTTTCCCTGGAGAAATTGCATTTATTGCTCCAAAAATGCGAAATCAGTCTGTTTTCCCTGCCAAATGAGGCAGTCTGAAGAGATTGGACTATAACTTTTCAACAACAGCACGTATGAACATGATTTGCAGACGGATTTTACTTAGAATTCAAATTCCAATCGATCTACGGATCCAGAATTTTTATTTGTGGCACCTGTGCCGAGATACCCTTGAAAATCAGCACTTTTACATGGTTAAAGGCTAGTAATTAAAAATATGGACCCGTAGGATTGTAGCCACATAGTAATCGATGATTTCGTCTCTGCAAACCTAAGCCCAAATCCTATCTGTTGTGAAGCTAATAGCTCGAGGAGGCAACCTTGGGCCAATAGGTGCTGCACAGCCACTGATCCAATTCCAGAATGGGTTTGCACAAC